ATCCTCTACTGCTTCGCGGTTCTTGAGAGCCCTTTTTTGGCCTGATGTGATAAAAGATCGAGGAAGTCGCCAAAGTCGCCATTTCGCGAAGATTCAAGAGACTTGCTGAGAGGTTTGAGCCCTTTATGCTTTCGCACCAAAGCTTGGTATTTATCATCTTCTAGCCGATAATTGGGTGTGAATTTACTGCTTTCACCTATAGCAAACTTGTGGCTGAGAGCTCGAGGCAAGCTGTGGTGGTTTTTTGCCTCCAGGCATGCATCACAGGGCGATTCGGGATCTTTTTTGTGGCGTTTGACTATGTTCATGCAATTCTTTGCGTGTATAGCATTGCGTTCACCGTTTCGCTTGATCACCCAAGTGCAGCGTGCGTCCAATGTTGCCATAAGTTGAGCTTTTTGCGATTGAGAGAGATTCGTCTCGGTAGAATTGGGTCCAAAGAGTTCTTTACGAAGCGCATTCCGGTCAATACCACGATACATACTACAGGTGCTGTTCATGAAGTCCGCAATCGTACAATCGGAACGAGGTCTAGGCCAGGTTTTGTCAGTAAGACCTGGACAAACAGCCTCGATTATATTCGAGTTGACAGGCTGGCGATCCGGGTCGTGGAAAAAGTACGAGCTCAAGAGTGTGTTGGTTCTTAATCCAGATGTTGCAGTTTTACACGCACCTTGTGGTACAACAATATAAAGCACATCAGCACAGGTTTGAAAGACGAGAGGCAGGAGAAACACTGACTACTTTTCCAGTGCATTTGTGCACCTTCAACTCGTCCTTCATGAAGAGTGACTCGTGCTGCACCGCAGTGGCAGCTAAAAATCTTGCCCTTTGGGTGCTTCTCAACCTTACAACGTATACAAGGGTTGTTTGGTTCAGAAAGAGGACATAGAGAAAGAACATCTGCTTTCTTGGATTTTTCCTTTTTTTTCGATTTTTGACTAAGATTACTTGAAACAAATATGACTTCATTTTTATTTTGCTCATCATCAGAAGAGATCGAGATTGTAGTAGATACACTAGCTATTTGGTGGTGTCGTTTTGCAGGAGGTTTAGGTACATCAGATACTGCAACATCGGGATCAGGGGTAGGGTTCGATACTATTCGGCGCTTAACTCCACTGGCACGGTTTGTTACAGATTGATCAGAATGAGGATCAGTCGGAAGAGATTTTCCTAGTGCTGATAGACATGAAATCATTGTCAGCGGACCTAGTTTTCTTTGTATGATTGGAAAGAAAGAAATGAGAAAGGCTTACCTTCAACCTTCTTACAAAGCCTCTCAAACTTGAACTTAATCATCAAGTCGGATCCTGAGTCGCACTTGCCTTGCTTTTGAGTTTTTCGTTTCGTGTCCTCTGGTGAATCCCAGGTGGGGTGCTCACGAGCCTTATTGATCCAGTCGATGAGCAAAGCTAAGCCGTCAGATCCTTTTCGGATGTATTCGTGACCATTTTCAGAACCAATCAGGCCTTCGAGTCTTTTATTTACACCGAACCAAATTCCTTCTCCCGCATCCTTCACGTCTAACTTTGGTGGATGAGAGCAAGTTTGATAAATCAAATCTTCGTGTGTAGCCGTGGCAATGACTGGGCATTCTTCAACCAGGCGCAAGGCCTCTTTCATCACTTCATTGAGGAGTGGCATGATTATATAGAGCTCGGTGAGTGTTGTAGAGTGCTGTAAAGTGGTGTGAGGTGCTGTGTAGTCTGCTAAGAGTAGATCTTGTGGTGCGACCAACTGCAATAGGGCAGTTCAACTAGAGAGTTGCGATCCTGCGTGACGCAAATTCCCGAACTGTTTTTTTAGGTCGTATGATCCATAAATTCCTTGTCCGCGCTTTCACAGACGCCCTAAAAATTGTGTTTTAAGACCTTTAAAATTCAGGGCCGCTTTTTTCAAACGGTTCTTTTTTTGCTTCATGGCGCTTTTTTTCTGATTAAGTGTTCCAACCACCTTTTTTTTCATCTCAACAAACTCTTGATCCATCTGTTACAAGCGTGTGACGAGGCGATGAAATAACAAGGAGGGTTATTCAAGAACTCGTAATCCAAACTGAATCAAACTCGTCCTCCAGAGCTCTTCTCTTTTTCGTATTGCCTCCTTCTTGCCAACAAATCACGATGCCCCGCGTTTCGGAACGAGTCGCCGTTCTACGGGAACTGACCAATCTATGTGTTGCTGCTCACATCGATTCCGACTTACGACTACCTGGGCAAGCACCTGATCCCGAAAACCCAACAGAAGGCGACCTTTTTTTCAGCCAAGACCCAGCGATGGCCAATTTATATGATGACATGTTTGATCAAGAGAATGAATGGGGTGAGTGGCTTGCTCACGTTCACTCGAAACGCTATCTTAACAACCGTAAAACCTCTCCTCTACCCACGCCGTTCGACTTACGCGACATGTTACGAAATCGAAGGACTGATTTCCGCCAGGCGATGTGAACTACCCCAGAGGGCTTTGAAGCGCTTCTCAACATGATCCAAACCCACTCTGTCTTTGTTTCGTCGAGCAACAACTCTCAGCCACCCGTTCGGAAACAACTCGCAATTACGCTAGAGCGACTTGGCAGTAACGGGAACGGAGCTTCCGTTGGTCGATTCGCCCGTAATTATAAGGTTGGCAGAGGAACTGTGATCAACTGCACGCGCCGGGTGATAACAGCGATTTTGGATGTCGGAAAGGGTTACCTCACATGGCCGAATTCAAACCGCCGTAAGGCTATCTCCAAGGTTCTCGAGCGAGATGGTTTCCCAGGTTGTGTGGGATTTGTGGACGGCACCACAATCCCACTGTTCCAAAGACCCGGCCGAGACGGCGAGGTCTTCTTCGACAGAAAACATAGATACTCAGTTAACGTCCAGATTGTATGCGATTGTGACCGGAGAATTACGTACGCCTACGCTGGGTGGCCAGGCTCATGCTGTGACAGCACTGTTTACTCCAAAACAGAAATTGCTAATTCACCAGAGAAATATTTTGATAGAGGTACGCACCTATTTGTTCTTACTTTGTTCTTACAGTGGATCTATGATTATCTAATTATCTTGTAATTGCAATCCAGGTGAATATATAATAGCAGACTCCGCTTACGTACCTTCCGAAACGGTCGTTCCATCTTACAAGGGCCAGGCTGCCGAGGTGGAGAGGAATAAGGAGTTTAATTGGTGTATCGCCAAGTCTCGAGTGCGAAATGAGCACTCGATAGGAATCCTCAAGTCGCGTTGGGCTTCGCTGCAAGGGTTAAGGTTAGCTTTGAATAGTCGGGGGGACATGGTCCACATACTCAGGTGGATTCGTGTTTGCATCATCCTACACAACATGCTTGCGGATCTGGGAAACACATGGAATGAGGAGGAAGATGATCTCGTATTGGCCGAACCTGGTGAAGCAGGACGTTTACGAGGTGGAACGGCTGCGGATCCTGTGGGAGTAGAGATAGGAAGGATCAAGCGTGAATCAGTTCGTGACCACGCCGTTGCCTACAACTGGCAAAGCGGAGGCCTTCCGATCATATCATGATTTTGGGTGATTCAGGCGAATTTCTATTTATTTCAATTTGTGTCATTCAAAAGTTGTTAGTTAAGATTTTGTGTTGTTCTGTTTGAAGTTCATTCTGTGTTTTCTTGTGTGGTTTGACTCTATAGTGATTGAACATGTTGTTTTAGTTATGATTGTTGGTTGTTCTGTTTAAAGTGTTGTGACTTGTGCAATCATCATTTGTTAAATTTTTGTTGGAAATTGAGAAACAAATCCTGAGTTTTCATACTGAGTTTGAGAAACGCTGAGCTATCTGAACGAACAGACCCCAAAGCAAAAAACTTGAGCTTAGAGAAGAAGACACGAGATTGCAAAGTCTTGAGCTTAGTGAAGCAGAGTCGGCCTCGTGGAAAGGTTGCACAAGGATGTCTCCAGTCCCAGAGAGACGAAGACACGAGATTGCAAAGTACACTAATCAATTTCATAATCGATTTCAAGATAAAAATTCAACTCGATTTCAAGATTTCACTTTACAGATCAGAACTCATTGCGCACGAGGTACAAAGACAGCTAGCAATTGACAAAAGAACAAAAAAAGGGGACAAGAACGAGCAAAACTAATCGCAGACAAGAAAATGATAAAACAGATACCACGACGCAAATCCCAGACACAGCGATTTCGAAGAATTCTTTGGCCTAAGCCTGTTCAGCGGGATAAACCAGGCGGAGGAACACCTCTAGCTCCTCAGGGGTCTTGCCCTCCAATACTAACTTTTCACAGAATTGCTTGCGCTCCCTTTGTAACTCTTGTGCCATTTGGCGAGTCGCGGCGTCTCGTAATTCTTGACGGTCCAAAAAATACCGCTCCTTATCCCATGACAAAGCCGACATGCGAGCATCGGCCTCAACTTTCATTCGATCCGCTTCAAATTTTTGACGCCACTTGTTGGCTTCAGTGAGCATGTTGATCTTTGCCTCATTCCCTTGTTGCATAACATTGGCAAGAGCATGCTTATGTTCCTTGTGGCAACCTTCGAGCGAGCTTGCGTGAGAGGGGCTTTCGCCGTCGTAACTGTTTCGTGGTCATCTCCGGAACTGGCATCTAGATCGGTTTGGGGTCGAATCGGTGGTCTAACTCGGTTCCCTTTCAACAGGTTGGCCTCTGCTTCCGCGGGGACAGATTCTTGTCGATTAGCAAATGTCTCGGAGACGTTAGTCTCTTTGGGCGTTGGAGGTGGTGAACTAAAATCATCGTTTAAAAATCTACGGTAGTGTGCGTTGAGGGCTTCAGGATCACTTTGGTTTTCTTGAACACCGGAAGATTGTGGATGAGGGGTTTTGGTTTTCGGTTGTTCAATCAGTTGTTCTGTATCACCAAACGATTGAGTCAGACAATCAAGGTACATCTGTTACAGTGAATACTGATACTTACCAGAAGATTCCAACCGTGCGATTTGAGCTGATTCCACCGGATGGTCATGACCATCAGTGGTATCACTGTGGGTATCCTCAGTGATACCCACAACCATTCCTTGAGCTTCACCTTCGTCGCTGTCGTCGTCGGAAGATTTGGGACCTACCCCACTGTCGAGGATCCCAAAAGGAGTGACATTTCCTTTATCACGGAAAAGCATATCCATTTCAGAGTAAAAGGGACACATGGATTCTAACAATTCTTCCATGGTGTGAATGCCGTCCGCCACATTCTTTGCAGAGAGCCCGCTACCCGTCTTAAGACTGAAATTCTTGGCAGATACATACTTCGATTTGTACCGTTTCAGGCGCTGGTACAGGATTCGACCATTCAACCGCATGTTGGTGGTGTCGTGGCGGATGTTATAGTTGTTATTGAGCTTAATCGCGAGAGGGTTCAAAATTGATCTAGGGTTCATAGGTAGACCAGACACCCTAGTCTGGCTACCACCACCGAAGAGCGTGTTGCGGATTTTGGGCTTCGACAGGTACGAGATAATGGTCTGATAGTCGACACGGTCCAAGCTCGGGCTGTCTCTCGTTGCTTTCGAAGACGCGGTGGCCAACGAGTTAGATCGAACGGGCTGAGATGCAAGGCGCGATCGCCTGACCGCTGCTGCTGATGGTCTCGAACCAGCTGGCAATCCCGAGGCAATCAGATCCTCCTCGATCTGCGCTCGTGTTCGACGCGTTCTGCGGGGTGCCTGCACATGAACAATAAGCATAGGTCAGCTTATCCTGTTTGGATCACCACAAGAACGCCACACATCATATTACACACCTTCCCAGTTTGTTGAGATGGAGGCGCCATTGCGAGAGATGATTGTATGACCTTGGACGATACGAAGACAAGAAAAATGGGTGTTTGAGAGAAACTGAACTAGGTCGATAAGGCGGATGTGACCAAAAGAAGAGAAGTAAACGGGATATTTGTGAAGATCTTGTGTTGAGAGCCAAATCGGAGAGAGATTGAATCGAGAGAATCAAAACTATGTGGAAAAGGTGGATGCGAGGGCAGAAATCAAGGAGAATCTGAGTATTGAACATCTGATTCTTCTTGTTCAATTTGTTTGTTAATGAAAGAGATAAGAAGGAAAAAAAGATTGTTTTTTTAGAAACAACCGTTACATCCAGGTACAGACCAAGAAAAAAAATTAATGGAAACAAATCCTTTTTTTGGGTTTGTCCGTGGCATGTTTTTTTTTTGGGGAGCAAGTTATAAAAATTTTAATGACAAATAAGTGACCGCAAAACAGTGACCACCTCTAGAGGTGGTTCACTGACTTATAATTTAAGTTAAAAT